CTGCTGCTGCAGCAGCTGCAGGGACTTTGCTTAGGACATAACCGCCACCGACAACAGCAGCAACAACCACAGCTTACGACGCTTACGGCAACAACGTTGTCCAAGAATTGCTTACGACCCCTTACGAAACACAGCACTTTGCTTACGCCAAACCTTGTTTCTGGAAGCCCCTTTCTTTTTTGAATAAGAAGGGTTTTGATCTCCGCTCAAATTTAGATTTCAGCTGAGGCGAGTCAATCAAGTCTCTCAGCCTCTATGTGAAAATCTGGAGAGCTTGATCTGCGTTTTGAGGGGTCAGTCCTGACTCTTGATGCACTAATTCGAGAGCCTGGCTTCTAAGCCACAGCTCACGTGGGGTCTTGCGCCGAGCTTGCACAAAATTGCGTGCATGCAGCTTGGTTCAAAATGGGTTTTGTGGAGACATGGTTGATCAATGGCCGACAACAAACCACTTCTTGAACGTCGCTGCCAGATGCCGCTTAAGACTTTAATGGCGCCATGATGGGCCAGGGCTCCAACAGCTACGCCCGGAGTTTGCGCGAAGCTTGCGCGGATTCGCTGTGTACTTTTGAATTTTGTGCTGTTGAAGTTACATGCAGAATATGCACAAGTACTAAGAGGCGACGTCAATCACAGTAAGCGAGCGTGCACTAATACCAGACCATAACAACGAAATGGCCCAAGACAAGTAAACACAACCACAAGCAAACCCAGACTAAAGTACTTGGGCTATGACAATACAGGAACGGTACCAAAGGCCCATGGTAAGGTCTTCAGGGGCCGCAATGCGAATAGTCAGATACGTCGCCACGACAGTAAAATCCTTTAAATATTTCGTAGCTGAGCCATGGTTCGGTTTTGAAGCCTTTGCGCCGTGCTTGCACGCGACCTTTTTGACAAGTTATACTGTGCTTAGTTTTCGTATAAATCGTAGACAAGGGTTTTCGGACAACCCTCGCAGACGAACCAGCTACACGTATCACCTACCAATCTCCTTTTATTGCTACGAGGGGGCACCCTGAGCAATGCCATAGCCACCCGACCTTCTTCGAACCATCGGGCAAGCCATGTCTCAACATAATAGGCGCCAGGGCTAGGGACCGCATAAACACCCCAACACGGTTCCGTAGACTGGCCCCTGTATTGGATCTTTTGCCTAAATAAGGGGACCACAATATAGACCCCAATATATGATAATCCTTATTATGGGGACGTGAACAGCGTATCCCTAGTGTTGGGAAACCCCTAAACCCTAACACCTATACATCTTCTATATAACCCTACATATCCCCTATAAGCCCATTGAAAGGTACCCCCTAATCTTAGGAAACCCCCACGCGTAAACAGATACCTTTGGGGGTGCTACACCCGCTCATATGCCGGGCGCGCCTCGCTATCTTGCCGGATGCAGCCTTGGTAGCGGACAATCCTGCGCATGACGCGGTTTTGTCAGAAGAGAGGGCCTCTTCAAGTATGTTGGGGCTATATTAGGGTTATATTGGGGTAATATGAAGGTTATGTTGCGGTAATAGTGGGGCTCCTGTTGCCAGGTTCTTTATGCATCTATCCTTGGCAGGTCTCAGCGGGTGCTAGATAAGACATAGGCTCAGACCTGTAGAAGACCTGCGACCAGTGTCAGAAGAGCGGGATGCAGGCGCAAGCCCACCTCGATCTTGCAAGTTTCACTATGTCTGTCTCCATTGCCACCTAAGGCGTCTAAAAAGGCGCCTCATTGTTGCAAGCACCCAAGAAAGATGGTTTAATTTAGGCTGTCTTCAATGAGGTTCCCAACCGCTGGAGCATAGTCTGATGCTGCAAAGCCATCTTTGCGTAATACGGTGCTCCGCAACGAGGATGGTTCCATGCAACATTGAGAACCTAATTTGTTCAGCAACTGACAAAACTGGCAAGCTCTCAAGTGTGCAGTCCCTAGCCATAGCCTCTCATCTAAAAACTCCAAGGTCAGGAACTACTCGACTTTGCCTGAATAAGCCTCTACACCACTGCCAGCAAACCACGCATGATTCTGTCCTCTTGTGCTTCAGCCGCTTAAGGGTGTTGATCTCCTGTAGGAGGCCATTGATCTCCTGGAAGCTTCTCAAATGGTTTAGTGCTCACAGCGTAGGGAAGTAAACGTTGTAAGAGGCCCTGATTTGAATCTCGATAAGGACCCAGGAGGCTGTTGCGTAAAGATTCCACATCAACATCGTGACAGCTGTAGCATAAGTCAGAGTATGAATGATACTCAAGGAAATGCCAACCCATCCAGAAAAGGGAAAACCCACTGGCAAATCACTGTTAGTCTGTCAATGATGATGGTCTGTCAGAATGTCAGACCTCATGCATTTTTTGGGGGACTTCAGAGACTTTCTGGACTTGGAGGTTCTGTCGGCTTAGCATCTTCAGGGTTTATTGTAGAAACATGTGGAAGACAGTCAAAAGGCTGGTCCTCCTCTGGGTACGCCATATACCAGGGATCGTATTCGAGTGGGAACCAAAAAAGGGACCCTTCTTTTGAACATCCGCCATGTTGAAATAAGGCCATCAATTGACGGGTCTGGGGCTGGTCCATCTTTTCATGGAAGACTTCATGAGAAAAGGCGTCAAAATTGCCACTCATGTTGCTTCCTTACACACCGTAGACAGCAGGATCGAGTGCCCTTAACTTTGCAAAATCAATAGGTACGGCTTCTTCGCTTTTCTTGTTCAGGCGGACCAGAAGAAAAAAACAACTCAGCCCTCAGAGCTGTGATTAATTGCTAAAAGCACAGAAGTGTCCTTCTCCACAGCATGCTGTCCGAGAGAGACGTCCAGGGGGATCTGGCACGCCAGCTGAGCTCAGGGCGATCCAGGCTGCGCAGAAAACACTGCCAGTATATGAAGCAAGCTCATGCGATGCAGGCTTCGCATCAAAGCTGGGACAACTATGAGGTGAGAACAACAGCTCCCCAGAAAAGTTCGGGTTCAAAGTCACAGATGAATGATGTGCTATTGGGTGTCAGTACAGGATATGCGCCAGCATGCGCCAGCGATTGGCCTTCTTGACCGCCATGAACTTGCCAGCAACCATTGCTTTGAACCTAAGCTGGTGCATGATATGCCAGGTGCATTAGCCTGGCCTGGATTTGCCATCGACATGGCCACGTTCTGACTCCCTCCCCTATGACGCGGCATGAATGAGTTTGGCTAAGCAACTTAAAGTCTCCATCCAAATCCCACCTACGCACCCCTCATGAACTCATGACTCCTGATTTCGGACACTCAAGCTTGCATTAATAATCACGATGTCCATCCTCAACGTTTCGTGGTTAATTTGCCCCTTCTTGGATGCCTCACACCACACCCTCTGCAAGAGACTGCGCGAAATGTGACAAGGCAGATTCTGAGGTAACCCATCGCCCAGTGTGGGTTCCTGGACATCTCTTCTGCTTCAAGACTTTGAGGGATTTACCGGGGGCTAAGGGCGCTGCACTTCTCCATAGGCACCTTTGCCCAGCGACTCGCCCTAGCAGAGCAGGTGAAGTCAGGTCAGATGCAGCTTTTTGAAGGGAAGCTAGCATTCAGTCAGGAAGTGCTGACCCTCCCAAGCTTGAAGGAATCTTCGGGCAGCAAGAGAAAGCA